CTGGCCAGCCCCGGACCCTTGGAGGACTCCTCCTCTTCCCCACTCTTCCCCTGCTCACGAGGAGCCCTGGTTGCTCATCCTTCCTGCCTGTCAGCCGCCACCCACCTGTGCAGCCCATCCCCGGCAGGGTATGGAATGCCAGCTCTCAGCAGTGGGCTCTGAGGGGGCGGCCATCAGAGGAAGCAGGACGCATCTGGTGGCAGGGTCTCCAGGGGGGAACAGGGAGGGCTTCCCGAGAGAAGTGTGGGCCTGGGTCCAAACCTAGGAGCTGGCTTCCCCTGACTGGCATCTGCGCGATGTTCGGAAGCGTGGTATGGGGTGGACGGGCCCAGCCCTCAGACCTCCCACAACGTCTCCTGCTTCCACCTTAGCCCTGGGGGTGGGGATGGGGGGAATCCGGTGGAGAGAGCCCTGCCAGTCCTCGGGGGGTCAGATATCACAGATGTGTCTTCAGGGCCCTGTTTCAGAAGAACCTCTTGGGAGTCGTTGTGGGGAGAATGTTAGCCAAGTGGGGCTCTAGTCTCCCCCTCAGCCCCTTCCATTCAGAGTTGCTCTACTCTGCTTTGCATATGGATTTTTCTTTTACTATTTCCTTGCATAATAGGGATTTGTCAGCTAAAAAAAAAGTGAAATGTAAAACTCCTGTACAGTCCAACTTTAAAAAGGGCTAATAAAAGCATGTCGGATTGGTTTGAGGATTAGATAAATCAATGCATAGAAAGCAGTTTGTGTTTACAGAAAAGGGAACTATTCATATGACCACACTGGGGAGAGAAGCCTGAGGGGGAAGGTTGCTGGGGCCGGCCCTCTGGACCTGTGGGGACGGTCGGAAATCTCCCCAGTCTCCTCTCTGTAGCCAGATGACCTCAGGCCTCTGCTGCCAGCTTCATGGCGAAGACGCGAGTTTGGAGTGTTTTCTCATCTCGAGCTCATTTAAGACAAGTGCATGGTTCTCATCCAGGCAGGGGGTTGTGAGGTGGCCCCTGCTGCCCTACTCCAGAGGGAGGTCAGAGCCTGCGGAGGCAGAGGGGCTGTCTGCTCGCCCCTCCGCTGGCTCTCCTGTGCCCACAGGCTTGGACCCAGTTCTGTACACTGAACACTTCTTTGCTGTGTTGCCTGGTGTGGTCAGTCTCTTAGGAACCTACCTTTGTTTTTATATTTACTTTTATTTTAAATATGCTTTTTGTTGATTTCAGAGAAGAAGGGAGAGGGAGAGTGCGAGAGAGAGAAACATCAACGATGAGAGAGAATCATTGATTGGCTGCCTCTTGCACACCCCACACTGGGGGTCAAGCCTGCAATCCGGGCATGTGCCCTGACTGGGAATCAAACCTGTGACCTCCTGGCCCATAGGTTGATGCTCAACCACTGAGCCATGCCGGCAGGGCTATACTTACTTTTAAAGTTCACATGGACTGTCTGCTATGTGCCAGGTGCTGACGACACAGCCGCCGTGAGGCTGGTATACAAGCCAGTGCAGGTGGCTGTGGGGTGTGGGTGCTCCAGCCACCAGCACGGGTCTGCGCTGTGTACATGGGCTCCTAAGATGTGTCCCCACTGCTCAACATCCTCAGTCCCAGCTCCTGGGAGGCCCTGCTGAGCTGGCCCTTGCCCACCTGCGGGCTAAGTCCCTTTCCTGCGAGTCTGCTAACCTCCCCCTGAATGTTCCAGGCACGGTCTCCACGTTCATGCTCTGCTGCTCTCTGCTCAGAGTGCCCCACGTCCACATAGCCTCTCCCCTTCCTGGACCACCAAGACCCAAGACGGCCACAGGCCCTGGGAAACCCATCTGGTGGACTGGTGACCCTTCTCTGACCTCCCACAAGATCAGGACTTTTTTCTGTCATGGGACTCATCTCACTGGTTTGAGTCTGTTTTTTTATCTTTCTCCCCATAAGATCTAAGTTTTAGACACCCAACCAGTGCTTCTTATAGCAAGTGCTTAAGAAATGTTGCTGGAGGGCATGTGTGAATGAATTTGACCCTAACTCATGACTGTGATGCTCCTGCCCCAGATCCCAGATCCGGGGGTTCCCTCGCTCCCTCCCTGCGAGCAGTGTGGAACCAGCAGCCAGTCCGAGTCCTCTGGCCAACGAGTGCACTGCCAGCGTCCCGGGCAGGCCCGTGTCGTGCACTCCTTAGCCGGGGTGATCTGTCTGCAGAGACCTCATGAATTAGTTATTAGTTTCCAATTACCACTGTAACAAATTGCCACCAAGCAATGCCCACTTACTATCTTGCAGTTTGTGTAAGTGAGAGAGTCTGAGCACGTCGGCCCAGCTGGTTCTCTGCTTGAGCCTCACAGGAATGGGGGTGTCGGCAGGCTGCTCTGGAGGCGCTGGTGGGAGTCTGCTCCCGGGTTCATTTAGTTTCTTGGCAGAATTCAGTTCCGCAGAGTGGTAGGTCCGAGCTCCCCATTCCCTTGCTGTCAGCTGAGGGTCGGTCTCAGCCACCCACAGTTCCTGGCCACTTAGAGCCCCAGCAGTGGGTCAAGCCCTCCTGCTTTTGAACCTTCTGCTGCTCTCCCCTGCCTTTCCTGTTTGTAAGGGTTCATGGGATTACAATGGGCCCAGCCAGATAATCCAGGATAGTCTATTTTAAGGTCAGCCGATTAGTAATCGTAATCCCATCTGCAAAGTCCCTTCAGAGCAGGACCTCTGTTAGTGTTTGACCGAGTAACCAGGGGATGGTGGGAATGCTGGGGCCTCCTTAGCATTCTGCTCAGTAGCCTGTGGGGCCAGCATGGCTCTTCCTCCTCTGAGCTAGGAGACAGCCTTCTCTGGAAGGGCCTGGCATTCCAGAAGGCGCCCTTTTCCGAGGGCCCTCCATACTCAGGCCAGGTTACCACTAGGTTCCCAGGTTGCCCTTGGTGACACCTGGGCGAGCTGGCAGTCATACCAGGCCAGTTCCCCTGAGCAGCTGGGTCCTGGACAGGAGTCAGGATTCAGTCATGGTCCCCTGTCTCCAGGAGACAGATTGCTTTGCTGAATGTCCTCCAAATGGGGGCTTGGGCAGGCGGTGACCTCTACAGAAAGCCCAAGGACATCTTCCCTTTCAGACCTAGTTGCCGGTTTGTTTCCATGAGCTTCTCCACAAGGAAGCCATGGCTCACTGGCCCTTTTGTCAGCCTTAGCCTCCACCATCACCCCTTGGCCCCAGTCCCTAAAGGCCACAGGCTCTCACCTCTTTCTGCAGTAGTCTCTGTGGGGGCCCTGACTAGAGTATGCCGGAGGTTAAAGGCCTCACTCGCTATATGTATGTGCGTAGGTAATGACACAGCAGTATTACTATGTTAAAGGCCCCTTTGTCCTACACATGCGGGAGTGCAATGACTTAGTAGAAGTACTACACGTCCTGCATAAGCGCACCCTTCTATAACCTACTAATGTTAATGTGGTATAGATGTCACTAATTGGTACGAGGCCTCTTTTGTTTGAGCCTGTATATAAGGTGCCACTGGTCAGGTGTTGGCTGCTTTGTTCGTAATAAAGTATGTCCTACCTACCTATGGCTACTCGTGTGTCCTAATTCCTGGCGTCCAAAAGGGTCAAGTTCCTGGCTGAGGAACTTGGACTGGACAATTGGCATAGTTGTTGCAGGATTCTGGGGTAAGTACCCCTTCCACCCCGCCAGAGGGCATGTGGCCTCCCATGGGGTTATGGTATCTGGTAGCGGCGGTCCTGATGACTTGGACCCCCCAGAGGGCAGGTTGAGGTAACACCAGTAGCCTTGGAGAAGGCTTCGTCATCCCTGATGGGCCAGGTTCCCAAAGACCAGCGGAAGGCTGCCGGGAAGGTAGGCTGGTTGCTCCTAACGGCCTTGAAACTGCAACACCGAGGGACGCTGGCTCGGGAAGCCAAGATACATGAGTTACAGCGACTGGAGGAGGCACTGGAGGCCGGTACGCATGAGAGCAGGAGGTAGCCTCCCTGGGACAGGAGGGACCGGGAGAACTAGAGCCAGGAGACGGCTCGGAGGACAGTGTTACTGCTGGGGCAGTGGTCCCTGTGCTACAGGCATGACTGATCATGAAAAGGCGTCTGGAGCGCCATCAGTCCGTGGCCCCAGGAGGTGGGGCTCAAGGGCCGCCCACGGTTACTGAATTAACTGCATATACCACTCTACCCCCACAGAACTGAGAGGGTTAGGACAACAGAGCCAGCAGAGGCCGGGGAGCCTATTCCGTGTGTCTCCCATGGTCGAGGGATGATGGTATAGATAGCTTACAGCTGTCTCCACCTGAAATGGAGA